TGACGGGGTGCCGAGACCCCGCACCCAAACCCCCGGCCCTTTGTGCCCTTACAGAGGGGCAACAGACCCCTTACCGCTGGTGCGCCGGTTGCTCTTACGCCGCGGCTCAGCTGAGCGGCGCCGCAACTCAGCTGATCGCCGACGCGGCTCAGCTGGAGGGACGTCTCCGCACAGCTGAGTTAAACTCAGCCCCCCCAGCGAAAAGGGGGGAGGGGGAACGCGCCGCGTCGGAAGGGAAGGGGGCGGGGCGCGTGAACTCCTCCGAGGTCGGTGGGGCTTTTAAAAGCTTGCCGACAACTGGAGAAGGGGGGGGAGACGACGAGGAGAGCGCGAGGGCTCCACGACAGGGGGAGAGACCCGGACGCGCTCACGGCAGTCTCCACCGAATAAGGCACGAGGGCGTGAGTACCGACACCCCGAGGACGGGGGTAGGGGGAAGAAGGAAGTAGCCCAGGGCAGGGCAGCGAAATAGCCCGTGGGCTGGTGTGTTTAGTGGCTCACCCCCCACCAGTCAGACAGATCAAAGGTAGTCTCTGTCCTTAGGGCCCTGGGCTGGGGCCCGTGAGTGAGGGCGAGCCCGGGCCCCCCTTCCTTCCCCCTTCCGAAGAAGAGACAGACCTAGCCAGAATTGGCTCCCCGAGCGAGCTTATTGTACTACAAGGACGGGTGACCGTCCCTCGGGACAGATCAAGGACGGAGGACCCAGTTACACAATTAAAACAACTGATTGGCTACTGTTTCCAAGATATTTAAGTTTTTACATTTTACATCTATGTATATTGTGTAGATAGTAGAGTTTTAATCATAAATTGTAAACCTAGGTCTTTTCATGTGTTTATGGTTGCTTTACATGATAATATTTCACCTGTCCTGTTTATGTAACACTTTAAAAATCAGCAAAAGGGTTATATAAATACAATTTATTATGAAACAAAAGACAAAAAACTATTATGTACATAGTTTAGTCCTATTCAGTGTCTACTCGGCGCTTCTTGGCTTGTCTCTTGTATTCATTAAATGGAGCATCTCTTGTCACTGTCCAGCAATAGTCTGCAAGCATTGATGGGCTCCATTTGCCCTGATAGCGTTTCTCCATTGTTGCAATGTCCTGGTGCAATCGCTCGCTGTGCTCGTCGCTCACTGCTCCGCAGTTCGGTGGAAAAAAATCTAGATGAGAGAGCAAAAAATGTATCTT